TGGTCCATTTTAAATTAATTTTTATACATGGTGTTAGGCAAGGGTCTGACTTCATTTTTTTGCATGTGGATATCCAGTTTTCCTGGTCCAGGTTCCCCACCTTCTTGGGTTCCCTGGCAGGAAATCTGTCCTTGCCTCAACCCACAGGAAGCATCATGACTGCCTGAGGGGGGAAGTACCCCTGAGGACAGAAGCAAGGGGAAAGGCGGGGACTACCATCGCCGGCCCTGGAAACTCTGCTCCATAGCTCAGCCAAAGATGACACCAAATCGGAGTGGCTGTTCAGCAGCACCACCCTGTAGGATATATGTCCCGTTGGCCTCCTGGGCATGGTCGCCTAGCCAGCCTTCCCACACTGCCAGAATAATCCCTTTGGGACCTCCTCATTTGGAACTTTAGCCATTTACTAGAGCCAAGGCACACCTGAGCTTAAGACACCACCTAGAGCTGAAAAGGAGGCAGTGGCCTAGCAGTAAAGATTCACTAAGCAAACATATTCGATAAAAACCAAAACAGAGCTGGATAGAAAACTGGAATGCACCTAGAAGACATACACCTACAAGAAACAATAATAAACAGGGGACCATGACCTCCCCAAAAGGACAAAGCAGAAATCCAATAACTGACCCTAATGAGATGGCAATTTGTGAGCTCTCTGACCAAGGACTCAAAATAGCAATTTTAAGGAAACTCGGTGATCTCCAAGACAAAGAAAATCAATTCAGAAATTTATCAGAGAAATTGAACGAAGAGATTGAAAATAATAATTTTGAAAACCCCAGAAATCTTGTAGCTGAGAAATACACTTGCTGAACTGAAGAACTCTCTATTGGCTCTCCACAGCGGAATGAACCAAGGAGAGGGGAGACTCGGTGAGCTTGAAGACTGGCTATTTGAAAATAGAAAGTCAGAGGAGAAAAAAGAAAAAAAAAGAATGAAAAGGAATGAAGACTTCCTACAGGACACAGATAATTACCTCGATGGGTATGTATGGTGGCCAGCTGGGCGGGCAGCTATGAAGCCTGGAGGAGACGAGAGACAAGGGTGAGGATGACTGGGAGCCTTTAGTGGAGAGAAAGCCGCGCTGTGCATATGGCGGCATGGCAGTGTCAGTATACTTGGCAGCACATTTGGAGTCAGTATAGACATTAACAGCTTTGTTATTGGCTGAATGTAAGGCTTGAGTAAGAGCAATTAGTCCTGCCTTCTGGGAAGCAGTGCCTTCAGGGAGGCGAGAGGCTTCTATAACCTGAGAGGCCGAGACGACGTAAGCCGCCCAGCGTTTGCCATCATCCTCTACGGTTGAACTGCCGTCAACAAAGAGAGTGGAAGAGGTTGGTCCGATAGGCCAGGCCTCGAGGCAGTAGCGGCATTGATTAGCTCAGGGCGAGAGTGGGTAGCAAGGGTTGAGGATGGGGCAGGGAATAGGGCAGCGGGGTTAAGAGTTGGAGACTGGGCCAGGGTGATGGTGGGGTTTTCTATGGCGAGGAGATGAAACTCCCATAACCTGGAAGGAGTGAGTAAAGCCAACGAGCGGTGAGTCAGGAGGGCCTGAAGGCAGTGGGTTGAAAATACATGGAGGTCTTGTCCTAAGGAGAGTTTTAGGGCTTTTCCAGCTAAAATAGCTGCAGCGGCAAATGCCCTTAGGTAGGGTGGCCAGCCGCGGACTGTGGTGTCTAGTTGCTTAGATAAATAAGCCACCAGAGTGCAGGTGAGAGGACCTAGAGGCGGGCAAGGATATTGAGGGCCAGACTGTAGAGATAAAAAGGTTTCTCTGGGTGAGGGAGCCTTAAAGGGGCGCCTGGAGCAAGGTGTCTTGGAGTTTTAGGAACATGCTGCAGACGGCTTGAGGATTGAACAAGGGACCAGCGGAAGCGTCACAGGCTGCCTTGTAGAGGAGCTTGGCCAGGAGAGAGAAATTGAGGATCTAGTGCCGGAAGAAACAACAAACCCCAGGAAAGACAGGATCTGCTCGGCCGAGGTTGGCGGCTGCAGATCACGGAGGGCTTGTTGACGGTTAGCAGTGAGATGCCGCGTGGTAGGGGTGAGATGAAGACCCAGATAGGTGACAGCGGGTAATGACAGTTGAGCTTTGGAGGGGGATACCCGGTAGCCCTTTGAGGCGAGGAAGTTGAGCAGGGTGTTTGTCTGGTCCTTGGAATGTGCCAGGAAAGGGCTATAAAGCAGTAGGTCATCAACATATTGGAAGAGAGCTGTAGGGGACAGCTGAGGAGGTCTTCAGCAAGGGCCTGAACAAAGAGGTGAGGGTGGTCTCTAAACTCCTGGGGTAGAACAGCCTATGTAAGTTGTCGGACGGTATTTGTGTCAGAATCTCCTTAAGTGAATGCAAAGAGGTTATAACTGGCGGGATCCAGGGGAATAGTAAAGAAGGCATCTTTAAGGTTCAAGACTGAGAAGTGAGAGGTGGAGGGAGGGATGTGGGATAGCAGAGTGTAGGGGTGGGGTACTACAGGGTGCATAGGAACAACAGCCTCATTGATGAGCCTTTGCTCTTGGCCCAGGCAGTGAGAACCGTCTGGTTTCTTTACAGGCAGGATGGGAGTGTTGTAAGGGGAGTTAGTGGGGATGAGGAGGCCTTTGCGTAAAAGGCGTTCTATGATGGGCTTAAGTCCCCTGCGATGGGAGGGTGAGATGGGGACTGTGGCTGTGAAGGGAACGACAAAGGGTCTTTTAACTGGATAAGAACAGGTGTGTGGTGGGTGGCCACCATTGGGGTGCAGGTCTCCCATACCTGAGGATCTACTAACTCGGGTGGCAGGGGAAGAGAAGGGGAGGGTTCCTGACCAGTGGGGGAGGCAGGAGAGAGAGCGAGCAACCGGAGGGCTGCTGGTCCCGAGGGGAAGTGGAGGGTGGTACCCAGTTTAGTTAGCAGGTCCCGTCCCAGTAGAGGAGTAGGACAGGTAGGCATGGTGAGAAAGGAGTGTGTTGTAGGTCGGCTGTCGAGGAGGCATGTGAGGGGCCTGGTAGCGTGGGGTACGGATGGTCGGCCGTCAATTCCCATAACGGAGACCTGGGAGGGGTAGGTGGGACCAGGCAGGACAGAGTAGGGAGCCCCCATGTCAACCAAAAAGGACACCGCCTTACCCGCTACCTTGATTGTGACCCTGGGCTCAGCGAGGGTGATCAGGGTCGCCGAGTCGGGGCTCCGTCAGTCTTTGGCAGCCAGGCCCAAAACCGCCAGTGGCAGGTCTAGGGGTAGAAGGGCTGGCCCCGTTAGTCTTAGGACCGGAGGGACAGTAGCTTTCCCAGTGTCCCTCTTGACCACAGGCCGGGCGTGGTCTGGTGGGCGGACGTGGCTGTGGGCAGTGTTTAGCCCAGAGGCCCTCTTTGCCGCATTGGAAGCAGTTGCCAGGCGGTGCACTGCCAGGCCCCGCCGGCGAGGTGGGTTTGCCCGGTCCATCGGCCCCTGCTGGCCGCAGAGCCGCAACCGAGGCTTCGGCCTGCAGATGTGCCTTTTGGTGAACTCGGGCCTCCTTTTGGGCCTCTGCCTGCTCATCGCGGGAGTTAAAAACTTTAAAAGCCATGTCTACCAGGTCACCAATAGGAGTCTGAGGGCCTTTTTCTGCCTTTTTGAGTTTTCTCTGGATGTCAGAAGAGGACTGGGTGATGAAATGGGTGGCCAGGACTGTAGTCCCCGCTCTGGAGAGGTAGGGTCCAGGCGGGTATATTTGGTGAGAGCATCGATGAGGCAGCTTAGGAAGGCCACCAGGTTTTCATCTGTCTTTTGGGTTATTTCTTTGAGCTTGCTATGGTTAACGGGTGCGATGGGCCGCGTCCTGGAGACCCGCCAAGATGCACTGTGACATGCAATCTCGCCTTTTTTGGCCATCTTGACCAGCTACGGTGTCAGGCTGGTACTTCTATCCTGGGTCCTTCTTAGGTACAGCGTCTGCCCTTACCGGCATGGTGGTGTCCTGGTCGGCGTGGCCTTGGGCTGCGGACCAAATGCACTCCTTTTCATCAGTGGTGAGGGCCGAGGACAGTATGACAAAGATGTCAGGCTACGTTAGGTCATAAGCCTGGGTTAGGTGACGAAACTTCTTGGTGTCAACTGTGGGATCATTGGAAGAGGAACCTAACCGCTTTTTTATCTGGGAGAGGTCGGAAAGGGAAAAAGGCACATGGACCCGTACAACCCGTCTTCAGCCCCGGCCACCTCTCGTAGTGGACAAAGAAGAGACTGGTCGCGGGACGGGCCAGAGGGCCCAGCGTGTGAGCGGGTATGGGGGCCGACAGGGGAGGACACAGGTGGCGTGGCAGGGGAAGGGTGTTCGGAGAAAGGTGAGTGGGGCGGCGCGTGGCGAAAAGCGGGGGCACAGAGAGACTCAGGAGGGTGGGAGAAGGTGGAAGACATCTGGGGAAGGACATCAGGTGAGGCAGGAGGTGGGGTAGGAGTGGAGGATGGTGGAGGGGAGTTCGTGCCAGAGGAACCTGCGTCGGGCTGCAGGTCTGGCATAGGGAAGGACGGGAGCACAAGTAAAAAAATGCCTGGACATAAGGGATTTTGACCATTTTCCGCTGCTATGACAGAAGTTGTCAAGGTCCTGTAGGACATTAAGGTCGAAGGTCTTATGCTTCGGCCACTGTGAGTCATTGTCTAACTCGTACATCAGCCAGGCCATGTTGCAGTAGAAGATGAGGCACTTGGGCTTAATGTCTAGCCCTATGTTTCTGAGATTAGCCAAGAGGCACCCCTGGGGCATCTCACGCGGTATTTTTGGAACTTTAGGCTCCCATGGTAACCTGGTCACTTGGAAAACCTGACTCAATGTCAGGTTGGGCGGTGACACGAATCAGGGGGACGTCTCCACCCGGACCGGTGTGCCGCAGGGAAATGGAAGGTGTGGGGAGTCCCCGGAAATCCTCTACCCTGGAAGGAGACCTCTGACTCGGGCCCATGGTTTTTGGAGAAGGACTCAGCATCCTGGAAAATGGACAGAGGCTCCTGGAATGACCGAGCACCCACAGGGGAGACTCACCGAAGCCGAGAAGTCAAGGCGGGACACGAAGAGGCTGGTCAGAGGTCCCAGTCCGTGAGGCGGGGATCCATGAGAGGGGAGGCACAGCCAAGCCCCTGGGGCCGGCATGCCAGTCACCCTCTCCCAGGTTTCAGCACCAAATGTAAGGTTTTGTGGTGGCAGAAGAAGAACGGTGAGGCCAAATGCATGCTAACAAAGGTAGCGTTTATTGAAGTGCTCCCTGGCGAGGTTTGAGAGCCCTGGGGAAAGGGGGCCCAGAAGTCGCACTGCCCAGGACTGCAAGCCAGCTTTTATATGGAGGCTGGGGGTTGTTTTTTTGCAGCCCCCCCAGGGCTGTGGGGTGGATCAGGGCAGAATGTCTTGCACCGGGACGGACTTCTTCCTGCTTTGTCTTGGCTGACAGGATGCGGTTAGGATAGCTTCAACAAGAGCTGCAGTTTCAGCTAGGTTGCAAGGACAGGGGGAAGGAGAGGGAGGGAGGCAGACCACAGCCTTATAACTTCTTTGTAGAAGAAGCTGATCCTAAAAATTATATGGAATTGCAAGACATATGCATAGCTAACACAGTCTTGGAAAAAAAAAGTTGGAGGACTCATACTTCTGAATTTTGGAACTTACCATGAAGCTTTATAATCAAAACAGCGTGGTGCTGGCATAAAGATAAACATATATCTCAATGGAATAGAATTGAGAACCCAGAAATAAACTCATCCACCTATGGTTGGTTGGTTTTCAACAAGGGTGCCAAGACCATCTGATGGTGGAAAGAATGGTCTTTTCAATAAATAGTGCTTGAATGATTCTATATCCACATGCAAAATAATTAATTTGGACGCCCTACCTCATACCATATCAAAAAATTGAAACAGATCAGAGTCCTAAATGTCAGAGCTAAAACTATAAAACTCTTAGAAGGAAACATAGGTATCAATCTTTGTGACTTTTGATTAAACAATGGTTTCCTAAATATTACCCTAGAAGTATAAGAAATGAAAGAAAAATGGATAAATTGAGTTTTATCAGAATTTTAAACTTTTGTGCATCAAAAGACAATATCAGGCAAGACAACCCATGGAATGGAATAAAATATTTATAAATCAATCATATGTCAAATAAGTGCCTAGAATCCATAATATATTAAAAAAAAACTCTTACAATTCGATGATAAAAAGACAAACAACCCAATTTTTAAAAACAAGCAAAGGACTTGAATAGACATTTTCCCAAAGAAGATATATGAGTGGCCAATAAGCACACGAAGAGATGCTCAACATCATTATCACCACGGAAACGCAAACCAAAACCCTAATGAGATACCACTTTGCACCCTTCCAGATGGGCACAAAACAGAAAATAACACTGTTGGCGAGGATGTGAAGAAATGGGAATCTTCATATATGACTCGTGGGAACGTAAAATGGTGCACCCACTGTACAATTGTAAACCAGAAAATAGTTTTGTGGTTCCTCAAAGAGTTAAATATAGAATTACATATGACCCAGCAATTCCACTCCTAAATATACATGTAAGAAAATTGAAAACATATGTTCAAACAAAACTTTAACATGAATGTTTATAGCAGCATTATTCACAATAGCCAAAAAGTGGAAACAACCCAAATGCCCATCAACTAATGAATGCGTAAACAAAAATGTAATATTAATATATCTATACATTGGACTAGCATTCACCCCTAAGAAGGAATAAAATACTTACATGTTCTACAACATGGATGAATCTTGAAAATGTTATTCTAAGTGAAAGAAGCCAGACACAAAGGCCACATATTGTATGATTGCATTTATACAAAATGTGCAGAATGAGCAAATGCAGAGAGGTAGAAAGGAGGTTGTTCTTTGGCAGGCGTTGGGGCAGTGGTGATGGTGTGGAAGGGAATTAAGCCCTTTGCTGGGAACTCAAAACTCCATAAAGCAAGGCAACCTCCCTGTCAGATTCATGTATGTATCTGAAAAATAAAAAAGCCTGCATGTGCACAATCAGCACCTAGGCTCAGAAGAGCGGGTACCTCCTTATGGGAAGGTAGGAGGAGGTGAGGAGACCTCACCAAGTACACTTTAACTGCATTGGCAATGTTTTATTTCTTAAGCTGGTGACAAGAGCACATATTTTGGGGGCATTATGTTTTATATCTTTTTGTTTGTTTTAAATATTACATCATTTTAAAAAAGACCACAAGGACATGAACCACTACATATCAGAGTCTATGAAAGGGAAAATGAAAGAATTGAAATAAGATATTTGGGGTTAGAAAAGCTTCAGGGTCTAGATTTGGGCTCCCTGATACGGTTTCTCCTGTTCCTCAAAGAGGCTGCCTTGGTTCCCTGGAACAGCCCGAGGGCCTCAGAGGCGGGCTGAGCCGGAATAGAGGCTGTGGCACCCCTGCATTTGGTGTCTGGTGGCTCTAAGCTGCCACTACCTGCTTCCGAGCACATATTTCCCCTGACTTCATTACCAGCACATTACTAGTTTGTAGGACAGTATGGCTAACTGCTAAGAGCCTTTAGGCTGCAGCGAGATGAGTCTTTTTCCTGGGCTTCGGTTCCGCTTTGGCTGAGCAGTGCTTAATAGGCTCAGCCCTGCTCGCCTTTCCTTTCAGATCTTTGTATTCTGAGCTCAAATCCTCCCTCCCTCTGCTGCCTCACACTCCGATGAGCCAGAGAGCCAGCTACCTCCCTGCCCAGCAATCCCCTTACTAGCCTAGCCCTTGGGAAGGCACTTCCAAATAACGACGACAACAATAACAGTAATGGCTAACATCTGTTATACTTTACCCGAATTAACTCGTTTAATCCCATAACAACCCTACAAGGCAGATACTATTATTACAGTTCTCATTTAATCTGGAAGCTATTGCAGGTGAGGGAGATATCACTATTATCCTCTGTAACTCTTTACAGATGAGGAAACTGAGGTTCAATAACTTGGCCAAGGTCACACAAGCCCGAAGTGACTCAGCTAAGACTGGAACCCAGTTTTTTTCTCTCTCTGGATGCTTTGGACGGTCAGAACTGTCTTATCAACCCATAAAATAGCAAAAAAACAATAAATCATTATTGATTTAAGCCACTGAGTTTCCAGGTGGTTTGTTACCTAACAGTATATGTTTAATACCTGAAACAGACGCTGACAATTAGATGGGATGACTAGATGAATATTTCTACGTGGAAATATGCTTACATTATATTGTTAAGTGAAAAAAAGGAGGCTCTAAAACAATATGTGCACATGATTTTATTGTTGTAGAAGACAAAAGCACATGATCCGAATCTGTGCATTTCCCGTTCTGGATCACGAGTGTGTGGACGGCAAAGAATGCTGTGTTTGCAGCAGGATGCTGGTCAGTTCAGATGCTGTCGCCTGGACGCTGATGACCGGAGCCCGAAGCAGGATAACATGGGGTCCAGCGTCTCCCGTGTGGAGGGTGCACACCGCTGTGGGGTGTGGCACCTGCTGGGGCACGGACAGGCTCCAGAACCAGCTCTCTCGACTGCCACCGTCACCAGAACTGACCCCTCTCTTCCACACGCAGGTGAGAGCGGTTACAGTGGCCAGTCACAGACAGGCCAGGTATATGATTTGGGGGCACAGTGTAAAATGGTGATGAGTTGCCCTTAGTTCAAAAACGATAAAGAATGTCAAGACAGAAGAGCATCAGACCAAGTGCGGGTGCTTCTGGGTGTGAGGCACAGGTCGCATGACCATGCGGCTGCCCCATTTCCGGGCATAGGGGGCTCTGCTTTCTCCCTCCCAGGGAGGGGGGTGGCTGGCATGCCACGGCATGTCTCGTGGCCCAAGAGGGGCAGGAATGGGAAGGGAACTGGACTGACGCGGAGCCAGGGGCAGAGCAGGTACCCACACACCCCTGTTTGGCCAGGCAAGGGTTCCTGAGTTTCCTGTGGGCTGAGGGAACACTGGGGAGGTGGCTGGGGAGGAATTTCAGGGATGGGCCTCCAGGGCTGCAGCCAAGAGGGTGTTGGAAAAATCTAGCCAGAGTGGCCCTCTCCCCGCACAACTCACCCATGCACCCCACTTACAAGCCTGAGCCCAGAAGGCACTGGCCACCAGGCAGTGCTGGCCATGAGAACAAGACCTGTGGCCACTGCCCCCTGGCTCTCATCCCCCAACCCAGCACACACCAGCCTCGAATCCCGGAATGGAAGATCGCTGATGGGGGGGAGAAGCTCTCACCCCCATCCCCCATTCCTAGCCTTGCTTGGCACTGATGGCTCAGGGCAGGGCTGGGGGCCATCCTATAATTGCATGTGATATTTAACTTTAAATCAGACTTAACTGACCTGAATTTTTAATAACTGAAGGTGGCCAGAAAGCTAGGAATCTGCCAGGAATATCGTTCAGGGACAGAAGAAGATATTTGACCAAGCATGGTTGAAGGCTATGATTAGAAACAAGGCAAAAATGTTTCTTGTTTGAGTCTTGTCAAATTCAGGCCTTTCCATAAGCCTGGTCCATAAGAGCAGAAATACGTCTGGAAGGTACAGAGCAGGTGTCAGACAGCAGGTGGGTCTAAGACAAGATTTCCTACCACGACAAGGACTGGCTTTTCATGAAAGGAAACATCATGCCATCCATGCAGCCGGCCCCTGTCACAGCTGGACCCCACTCCTCCCCACTGGGACCTGGCCTCATGCACCCCTGTCCCCTGCAGCACAGGGACCAGTCACAAAAGTCTGTTACATCAAAACATCACCCCAGAGCCAGGAGAGCATCTGCCCTCCGGAGGGACCAGCTGGGGCTGATTCGCAGGGGAAAGGGGCCAGTGGGCGGTGGGGATGAGGACAGAATGGAGGGGCAGTAGGGTTGACCCATGCATCCCTGTGCCATCCTAAGAAGCCACTCAGTCTTGGGCCATCTGGGACGGTTGGTCACCCGGGGGGCAGGACTAGGGCTGTGGAACTGGGCACCGGCACAGGGTGCTGACTTTCCTTTGTCTCCAAGCCTTTCACATCTGGAGGGGAATGAGCCACTCTCTGCTGGGAAGGCAGGGCTCCTTTCCCCTAAAGTAGGAGCAGAGAGAGAGAGAGAGAGAGTGTAGTGCGCATGTGCTCTCTCTCCTCCCTCTCTCCCTGTCTCCCTCCCTCCCTCCCTCTGGTGGGAGTGACTCAGCAAGAACGCCAGGCCTGCTCTTCTCTCCCTGTCCTCCAGTGCTGCGGCCCCCTGGTGCCTGCTTCTCCTCCTTGTGGCACCTACACTGACTGGTCCCAACCCCGAGGACAGGGGACTTCCTGGGCTGAGGCCCCTGTGATCTCTCCTTGGTGGCCTCGAGGAGGCAGCGCAGGCCCCTCAGTCCGCCTCCCCCGTGCCCACTCCAGCCACTCCTCCCCTCACAGCTAACTCTGATGGAGACTCCCGCACCTTCCGTGTGGCGTGCTTTGCCGCGTCCATCCTTGCCCAGGGAGGCCAGTGCTCCCTCCCTGTTGTCGCCTACAGATTCAGATACTGAGGGATGAGAGG